GTTTATTTATTTATTTATTTTATTGTGTGTGTGTGTGTGTGTGTGTGTGGCCAGCTCAGCCCACCAGGGGGCAGGGCTGGCTGACATGTGGTGCTGGGGGATTGAACCACGGTCCCTGTGCTTTGCTTAGCTTAGCTTGTTCTAAGTAGGTGCTTTAGACCACTGAGCCATCTCACCAGCCCCCAATCTTTATTTATTTTTGAGATAGGGTCTCACTGTTAGTTAAGGACTGGCCTTGCATTGACTCTGTAGCCTAGGATGTAGGCTTGAACTCACACTGATCCACTTGTCTCAGCCTCCCAAGTGCTGAGATTAGAAGTGTGTATGTCCCAGTTACTTTGCTCTCTTGCTGCTGGGACAAAATACCCAATACTCAAAATTAAGGGAGGGTTTATTTAGCTCACAGTGGAGGTTTTAGTCCATACTCAGCTGGCTCCAAGGCAGACTGGCACATGCAGAAGGCAGTAGCTCATGGTGGCAGAAAACAGCAAGAGCAAAAAGGAGGAGAATCACAAAAGGGAGGAGTAGCAGCAGCAATGGCTGCAGAGAGCAAGTCTGTCTCCCTTATGTTGCATTCAGGCTACCTGCCCCAGGCTGGGTGTAGCACTCACACCCATAATCCCAGCACTGGATCACGACTTAATTACAAAGTCTACAAGTCTACCCCCATGACTGCATGAAGCTCTAGGGGAACAACTAGACACAAACAATAACTGTGCCACCATGCCTGGCTCCCTTCAATCTCCCATGAGGGCACAGTGTAATTCATAAGCAGTTGTGTTTACATATGTACTACAGACTCTTGAAACAGAAATTCCATGCCACTCTGTCTTATTTACTAATATACCTCTTATTTTGTTAAAATGCTTTTACCCAACTTTTGATAAACTGTTAAATCTGTTACCAACTATCTTAGTCAGGGTTTTACTAGAGGAACAGATATAATACGAGGAATAGGTATAACACAAGATGTGCCAGTCAGAGTCAGATGAGGAAGTGAGCCGAGAGCATCTGCACACCACCAACTGAAAGATTCAGTCCCAAGGTTTTGTATTCCCTGCAGTGTTCCATCTCTAAGGGTCTCTAATGGTCTCTTAACAGCCAGCTGTTAAGTCTGCAATGGAAGACTGAAGAATCTATGATGGAAAGCTGAAGGATCCAATCTAGAGGCTGAAGAGTCTGTGCTGGAAGCCAGGAGATAAAGTCCAAGCTGACTGTGAAAAATTAAGTTCTTCCGAAGAAGCAGAATGTCGAATTCTTCCTCAACCCCTTTTTGTGCTAAATTACTCTGGGGCAGGACCCTCACAGCTCAGAGTGTGGAACTGCCAGGCAGATGCAGCCAAACTGACACAATGTGTGGACCACCAGGTGATCTAGCCAAGTTGACACAATGTACTGACCCCTACAAATTTTTTATCTGAATCTGGAGGCAGAAAATTGTATTTCAAGCTCTTTATTTTCATTCATAAGTTTGTCCACTGAGGCTAAAATCAATCAACCAGCATCATTATATTCCCTACTCCACAAAGTGATTCAAAATTTTCCCGCATGAAATCTCTAAATTCCTGACATCTCACAAGTGGTGAATTAGGATAATCAAATGGATCTGTATGGCCTGTTAGTTTAAACACCTCATGCCAAGGAGTATCAATATGCTCCTTAATACTAGAAGAGACCATGGTGTCTTTAGTTCTCATCAAATCTTGAAGCCAATTCCAGAAATTCTTAAGGCCATTAAAAAATGCCATCACTATATTCTGTTTCTCTAGTCCCACTCCTGGTACCGAATTCTGTATTAGTTACTTTTCTCTTGTTGCTGGGACAAATACCTGACACTCAAAATGAGAGAAGGAAAGGTTTAGTTAGCTCACACAGTTACTGGAGGTTTCAAGACACTGGAAAAGAGGCTGGGGCGCTGCCATATCCAGGATGACTCTCTCCAAACTTCCGAGGGAGTTTGCTCCATACTGCCGAGATAGACCACCAGGTCTGGGGGGGGGGGGGCACATGCCTCTCTGGCTCCACCCCTCAAGCCACTCACTGCTTCTCCAGCACATCTGCCCCATAACTTACATGAAGCTTTCAGGGGACAACTAGACACAAAACAGTCCACTTATTTTTTTTGAGACAGTGTTTCATTATGCAGTTCAGGTTGGTCCTGAACTCACTTTGTTGCACAAGTTATTGTCAAATTCACAGCAATCCTCCTGTCTCAGCCTCTTGAGTGCTGGGATTATAGGAGTGCACCATCACACCTAGCCCGGGCCGTATCTTTTCATGTATGTTTTGTTGTGTATATCTGTTATATATTCTAGGTTAGAATTGTGTTCCTCACAAATTCAAATCCTAACCTGTTAGGATGTTCAGAATGTTACACAGCAATTGCTAACTAACACAGAAAGCTTTGGAGCTAGAATAGTCCTTGGGTGTTGCCCTGGACTGTGGGAGGTGGGGAGAAGTGGTCTTTATATCTAAAGTTAATTATTAGACATGAGTTACCTTCAAGGAGGAAGCATGACCATGAGCAAGACTACATTCAGCTAAGGGCAAGTTTTGGAGGGTTTTAGCCAGATGTTACAGAGACTAAAATTCCAAGCAGCTGAGGAAACACTTCCTTCATTCCTGAAGCAGAGAATCTGGACAGAGAACTACAGGACCTACTTTAAAATGATTAGCAGAATTTAGGTTGACTGAGAGTTGACTACTAGACTTGTAAGTGAATGCTACAGGCATAGCTCTTGATCCTGCAATGAAAGATATGGACAATGGGGCTGCTTTACCAACACCTAATACAAGCAGAAAGTCAAGCTCCATATCTACCAAACACTTTCCCAGTCTTCTCCTTCCAGTCTATACAGGAGGGCAAGGGGAGGAAAAAAAAAAAGTGGCAGTGAACTTTTAGGATTGGGCGTGGGGGATGGTTCTGGTGGGCAGTGACTTACTGAGGAGACTACAGGATGTTCTCTCCCAGGTTATCAACAGGCCTAGGGAAGAGGATGCTGCTAGGCCATATGTTGCTTGCAGATCTCTCAACATTCTTGCTGACTGTGGTCTGCACTTTGGGAGGGAAAAGAATATAGAAGAGAATCAGGCAGAGAAGAGGGTCCACACAGTGGCTTTTGGTCCAGCAGTTCATATGGCAACAACACGTATGCACAGTTCAACAGGACCCTATAGAAGTGCTTTCTGGCTGGCTGGCTCCTCTGTTAGGACTAGGTGGGCCATGGGGTGCTGATTGTGGGTGATGGAAAGGATCCAGCTGGAGACAGTTTCTCAAGGAACTGTCCTGTCTGGAATCAAGAGGGCCCCACCAAGCCTTTTCTTCAGGGCCACAAAGAGGAAGTTCAAGTAAGGGCCATTCGTCCAAATCTGTAAGATGCAATTAAGAAGAGGTCAGCATTGGACAATTAAGAGACACCTCATTTCCTCCTTTCTTGAATCAACAGAAGCCAGGACTCCAAGAAAAATGTGTGAGGCCAGGACAACTCACACCTTCCTGCTACTACTGAGGACTCAGGGTCCTACTCAAGCAGTGAAATGGGCACCTGGACATAGTATGATTTTTAGTAACTGAAACTGACCAAAAGTTAAGGTACAACCTAGAGATTAAGAAATGGAAAGATTTTAAAAAGTAGCAATTGGAGGAAAACTGACTACTTTATGTTTGAAAACCATCACCTTAGGAGGGCTTAACAGATCACACTGGTGACTGCAAGGAGTAGTCTTCTACTTTGCACCACATTTCCATAGACTGTGTACAAGCTACAAAGACAAACAATATAGGATACACCTGTCCTTGGGGAACAAGAATGGTCTATTCTAAGAGAAGCATAAATCAAGTTTACTTAACAAACAAGTCTAGTGAATCCACAGGAGTTTCTTTTCCCTGTCCCCCGCATTGAGCACTGTAATTTTTACCAGTTGAAAATGATGGGTGAGTCTAGGAAGGAGGCATCTACTTTTTGAATCAAAAGAGCCTCCTGTGATTATGCAGTCCCTAAAGACCTCTTTTAGAATTGCTGAGTTTGAGCTGGCACCAAAGATCTTTCAAGACAGACAGGGAAGCCCTAAGCGCAGAGACAAGCTGAAAACTGAGTCCTGAATGTTGGGAAACACACTTTTTAATCTTCCAAAGCAACTGCACAGGACTAGGGATGTTGCTCAGTGGTTGAGCTCTTGCCTGGTGTCAGTGCGACCTAGTTTTGATCCTATCATCTCTGAGGACCTTTTGAAACACTGTAACTTCAAGATGGCAGTGGTGATACTAATTCATGAAACTGTTTCACAGAAAATTTGGTATTATCCTAAAAGTAATGCATTTTAAAAAATCAGAATTATGGAATCTGAAGAAATCAAAAAGCATTTCAATTTGATGTTATCCAGAATTAAGGCATATGAAAGAAATCAAAAAGCATTCCCTCACACTGCTTAAAGCAGTTAACAAAACAATGAAGTTTTTAGTTTAGTGGAAAAGCCCATGTTTAAATCAACAGAAGACACTGTATTCCCATAAACGCAGTATGATGTTTAATACTGTATAGCTTCACCTAGCTGGGCGCAATAACTCCCCGCAAGAAACATCTACAATTTTGCGTCTAGTCAGTCATCGCTGGGAATAGAACAGGAAGGTCCATTTCAGCTCTGAAATCTCGCATTTCCAACCAATCTCCGAGCCCCAGCCTGAAAGGTTCCTTCCCCTGCTCTGGCGCAGTCGACGCCGAGCGCACGACTGAGTACTCAGCACCTGCTTCCAGGACACGCGCCTGGGGAATACCCACAAGCCCTTGCGCCCGCCCGCGGAGCCGGGCAGGCGGGTGACCCAGCGCCCCGGCTCCGAGCAGAGCGAGGTCACCCAGCACTTCCCAAGACCTAGGCCAGGCAATGGGCGAAGGCGGGGCAGACGGCCGCCAGCCAATCAGCGCTCGACAGGCGCGAGCCAGCAGGGCCGCGCCCCTGCGGCTGACTGAGACGCCCCGTGGGTGAGGAGTAGGAGGGCGCCGGCCCCACAGAATCCCAGTAAAGAAGAGGGAAGTTAGGGTGAAGAGGAAACTGAGGTGATGAAAAACGAATTTCCAAGTCATAAGCACCAGAGAGCCGCCTCCATAGCGCAGTCTTGCTGCGCCGTCCAGCCCGACGGGAGCTCAGCCATCCTCCACCGGTGTGGGCCGCGGAACGGCTCTAGCCCCGCCCCCTGCCGCGGGACGCGCCGGGAGAGGCGCGGGTTCCCCCGCCCGCTCAAAGAGGGAGAAGGTGGGTATTTCCGATGTCAGACTGCCTTCACGGAGAGGTGCGGCTAACTTTGCCCCGCCCTGTACGTCTGGCGTGAGTAGGGCAAGGGTGTGGTCCCTGGGCCCACGCCAAGGCAGGCCCCTGCACCGGAAAAAGGAAGCTGTGCTGTCTACGCCATTTCCTGTCGGAGGAGTGCGCCGAGGCGTTAGGTGCGCGGTCACGTGATGCCAGTGCTGTTGAAGAGGGAAATGGGCAGGGGGTGGGGCGGCCCTGCTTCCTTTCGGGTCACGTGTGACCGGAAGTGGTTGCTGCTGCAGAGACTAGGCGATGGGGACCTCTCTGGACATCAAGATTAAAAGGGCGAATAAAGTATATCATGCTGGGGTAAGTGGGGCTGTGGCTGGGCTTGCAGACTCCGTCGTCTCCGGAATCTCCAGATTCTGTACTGTCTGGTCCGGGTGGGGCAGTAGCCTGTCCCCAGGTGCGCACCGCCAGGTGTGTCCCTCCCTGCCAGGTGTGGCCTGCTGCCTGCAGTGGGAGTCTGCAAGGCTACTGCACTGTCAGGCTCCTTGAATGTCTAGCAAGGCCTTGGGCCCCAGACCTGCGCTGTTGTATTGAGACCTAAGGGCGGAGGTCCTGGTGATCAGATACCAAAGTCTAGAGTGATGGAAAGGAAAAGTTGACTTTGAACGTAGGAATGTAGACATCTGGTGGCAGCGCAGTTTAGGCAGTGATTTTTTTTTTTTTTTTTTGTCTTTTTGAGACAATGTCTCGCAGTGCAGTTCACACTGGCCTTGAGCTTATTTTGTAGCCCATCCTGGTCTCGAACTCCCAATGATTGCCCTGCTTCAGCTTCCCGAGTGCCGGTTTTATAGGAGCGCACCACCACGCCCAGTCACTTCTGACTGCATACAAGTTACTTTTTCTGGGGAGAGAGGTTGTATTAAAAATGCAAGTGTATGCAAAGTGAGATCTTTGTCATTAACAAGTTTCTTGCCTTTTTGCGTTTTTGAACTTGGTTTCCTATTTTGCAAGGTGAGGGTCTTGGAAGTTTTCCTTTAACCCAGAATTTGAGCACCTATGCTACATCAGCAAAAATCACCTCTGAGGATTTAAAGGCTCGATTGCCTGGGTCCTGACCCCAGAGATTCCAGCTCTCCCGTGCTGCTGCAGTTGAAATCACAGCTGGCACCAGTATTCTTTGGAATACAGTTGATAGCAGTGATTGGTGTAGTGTGTCAGAGGGGTGATAATACCAGGCAGACATTTTGAATGGGTGCTACAGTTGGGGGTAAAAGACAGTCAGGGAAACCTGATATTTAAGACACTTGAAAGAGCTACTCCCCAGATTATTACTTAGAAAGAGAAAAAGGTCAAAGGCCATACTTATGACAGGAATCTGGTGGTCACCACCCCAAACCAAGAGCAAAAAGAACACCTCCTCAGCATCACCACTGAGGAAACTGACTCTTTGCACTTCCTGGCATGCTGCACCATGAAGGGCCCAGCTCATCTGTGTAGTATTCCTGCCAAAAATGTTCAGTCTAAGTTCATATGGAAACTTTCAGATTCATTCCACTTGAGGGAAATTCTGTGAAATACTTGTTTCTGATCTTTTAAAAATGTCAGTGTCATTGAAAAAAAAAAGCAGGAAGGTTTTTCAACATTAAAAAACACTAAAGGGACATGAAAACCAAATATAGCATATAAGAATTGATGACATATATTTAAACATGGACCATAGATTAAAGAGTTTTTGTATAGGTGTTAAATTTGTAGGTTACAGTGTCTGTGTTTTGATTGTATGGAAGAATACTTCACATGCTTCAGGATTATAACTAAATCTCAGATGGTTCAGCCATAAATTTGTATATGTTCCCTGTCTGTATGTACTGAAGGAGACAGGGCAAATGTGGCACAGAGTTACTACTTGCTGAGTCTAGTTGAGAGCTGTATGGGACTATTTTGTGTCTTGTTTACTTGAGACCCTTTTTGAGATGGGGTCTTGCTCTGCAGGTCAGGCTGTCCTTGAGCTCATTTTGTAGCCCAGCTGGTCTTATCACAACAATCCTCCTGCCTCAGCATCCTGAGTGCTGGGATTACAGGCATGCATACTACGCCTGGCTAATGTTGATATGTTTTATTCAGAGATTCTTACTCTTAACCAAGATGCTGGCATATTTTTTGAAGTTTTAACTATAGTACTACAAATAATGAAAAATACGCTCAGAAGAGATGCAGGAAATGGGATTGTGAAGCTGCCCCAGCAAGAGTATTACACAGCCAGGAACATTCCCCATGAGTGGCTGAGCTGAAGATGGTGTCTTATGTGCTGTGGAACGCAGCTTTTGTTGCTGGTGTCAGGAGCAGTGATTCTCAGATCTTAAGTCACTGCTTACATTTACATAAGTGCATCATAAAAGGAAGTCCTTGTATGATGATTATGAGAGAAAAACCAATCCAACTTCTACTAAGGTGTTATTAACTAGGTCTAATTGAGTGACAGAACTCTCTGTCTGGTCACCTGTGTCCTGGACCCAGGTGCCACACTCTGATCTGTCCTTCAGGTAAGGTAGGGTCTGTCCTGTCCAGTGGGCGGGGCCTGAGTGGCAGGCACTGTCAGTCCCAGGAGAGGCACCTGGGAAACAAAGGGATGTTTTATAGCCAGTCACTCTCACTTTACAGTGAGGAAACTGAGGCCTGGCCAAGCAGCAGAATTGGATTGTCCAACTAATGACACCTGGATTCCAGCTGAATGTGAGTCCAAATCGTGTCCCAGCTACCACTCTGCTAGCTGCTGCTCCCCAAGAATGGGCTTTTTTTTTTTTTTAAAGAGGAATATTTATTTATTTATTGGCGGAACCAGGGATTGAACTCAGGCCCTTGCGCTTGCCAGGGAAGCACTTATTCTACTAAGCCATTTCCCTGGCCCAAGAGTGGGCATTTTTATGCAAAATGGAGGAATTTGTGACATGAAACTGGTAGTTATTCCTTTCTTGAGAGTGCTATGAATTGCTTTGGGATATTCCAGTTATTCAGAGACTTTAAAAAAGACGGATAAAAATCTCTCAACATATGCTGATTATATTGCTGTGCTTTTTGGTCCTTCACCTGTGGAAGCATTTGAAAATGGTGGTTTCTGTGGAGACCAAAAAACTTGTTATATTTAGCTTTATCATTGATTTTGGGTTTTTTCTCTAAGTAAAAAATGTTCTCTGACACATTTTTTTGGGGGGTGCGTTTTTTTGAGACATTGTCTCACTATGCAGCTCACACTGGCCCTGAGCTCACTTTGTAGCCTAGGCTGGTCTCAAACTCACAGTGATCCTCCTTCCTCAGCCTCCTCAGTACTGTGGTTGCAAGCGCGCACTGCCATGCCTGGCAACACAATTATTTTAAAATTAAAATTAGAGAAAGCATTAAAAGTGTAAGTGTAATGCATGCCCATTGAGAAGATACAATTAGGACTCCTCCTGCCGTCCCATTGTGTCCCCTGATGTTTTGCACATGCAGGCACACGTGTGCAACTGACAGCTTGTTCTTTTTGCTCAGTAGTTTGGGGATGTTTTCACAAATCCTCTTGTTTTCTAGATTATTTAATGAAATTCATTTGGCCATTGTCTTTTGGTTTGCAGAGGGCTCCAGGTCACAAAGTGAGAGATGATAAAGTGCTCAGATAAGAGCAGGTGTGCTGGATGACTGAGCACAAAGCAGGGGCTAGTCATTTCCGGGGCAAGAGAAGGAGGGTACACTTCTTGAGCAGCTTTGAGCCCAGTTTTCATGACAAGTGTCATCCCAGGCTGTCCCAGCTGCCACGCATGGGTGGCTGCACCGGGAGGGAAGCACTGTGAGCAGCGTGAGCCAAGTGAACAGGACGGGTATGGTCTCAGGCCGGTAGGTTTTCAGTCACTCATCCTCATCTGATGTGGCATCAACAACCATTTCTTAATGCAGCTTGGCTTTGTTATCTTTCCGTACTATTCCCTCTGTTTTCTTTTAGTTTGTTCTGTTTCACAAAAAGAGAACTGTCCCAGGTTGGCTGTTGAGCTTACTAACTTGTAGCCTCTTTTTAAAAGAAATGCAGACATTTCCCACTAAGTGTTACTTCATTTGTGTCCTGTAAAGTTTTCCGTTAAGGAATTACCATAAAGAAACACCCTGGTGACTCTGCGGGTAGCTGGAGGAAGTGGGATCACCCTGCCCACCTGCTGGCCCAAGACTGCTTGGGGAACCTCCTGCTCTGTGAGGATATGGGACAACCACAACGTAATGCCTTATTGCTGTATATGCAGATTTTCTCTAGCAAGATTGGATTTGTCACATATTAATGTACAGTTTTAAATATCTTACATTTTTATCCAAGTTATTTAGAAATGACTTAATAGCAACAACTCATATACTCATAAACGTGCTAATTTCTATTAACAGTATTGACATTTATTTACGTTTTGACATAGGGTCTTGCTATGCTATCTGGGCTGGCCTTGAATTTGAGATACTTCTGCCTCAGCCTCCCATGTAGCTAGGTTCATAGGCATTTGCCATCACACCCAGCCTTAATACTTAAAGTTTAAGAAATTCTTTATGAAACAGAATTATGAAAACAACTTCAATAAGAGTGAGATTATGATGCAGATCAGGAAAAGACGACACTATGAGAATGTTTACCCAGATTCAGTTGGGACCCGTGGTTACATTTCTTTTGAAGGGCTGGCCAAATAGCTTAGTGGATTACAGCACCTGCAAGCAGGCCCAGGGGCCAGGATTCGATCCCCAGGCCTGTGTGCTGGCCTTGCCCCTGGGGGCATGCTGAGATGGCAATTGAGACTGGGTGTGGTGGCAAGTGCCTGTAATCTCAGGTCTTGGGAGGCTGTAAACAGGTGGATCACTCCTGAGACCCAGAACACCCTGTAGACCCTTCCCTAAAATTAAAAAAACAAAAAGCAAAACATTTTTTGAACATACTTCCATCGTAGCACTGATTACCCTCTAGTGTAAGGATTTTGTTGTATGAGCCCATC